GTCTAAGCAGAGTGAGGGAAGTTTAAACTATGATCGTGTGGGACGAAAAGCTTGGGGAGATTGCATGGCCATAAAGCTGTAATCTACTTATATTTTGCCTTCCCCTCCCCTTCATCAACATGCTATATCAATATGTAAAAAAAACCTTTCACATTAATTTCCATATCTTATTCGCGATCCAGCGACATCACTACTGAGTCTCCGTGCTTGTCTATGCAATGCAGTCAAATCCTGATTGGTGGGAGGGGCCGGCAGAATGCTGTAGATAGCTCTTCTCAAAAGCGCTCAGTCCTAATGCAAGCGGTGGGCTTTCTCTTGGGAGGAGTTGTGCAAATGTCAAAAAGCCTTGATGGTTGGATGTCAGTCTGGAGGACTCGCCAGACTTGGCAGGCTGCATTAGTATGCAGACTACCCTAGGTAATGCCTACATGTAATGCTGAACTTCCACAATCGAAAGAACTGAAATCCAATGAATGAATGAGGTGGGCCAGGGATAAGAAAGCTGGGGAAATACGACATAGATAATGCTGGATGTCCTACAGCCAGGAAATGCGGCGGGTTCTATCTGACTATCTGTAGCTTCTAAAGAACATTGTGAAATCACAGTAAGCAATTTCAGTACAGGAGATGAGTCTCTGCAATGCTGAAGGTGAGACTGGAGTTTAGCTTTAATGTAGTAAAACATGGCCTTGTCCTTTAAGGGTTATTAGCTTAGGGCAGAATGGTAGCCATAGAGCAGAATTTGGCATGTTATCAACTAACTGGGAATCACAAGCATGGTCGGTCTGCAGAATTTAACAATGGAACAGATGGAGATATAAATGCATGTGGCGGTGTTCTTCTGGAATCAGAACATAGGCAGATTAGCTGTAGTGAATGGGTAAAAGACCTGGAGCAGTAGCTGGCCACTCTGTAGCACATTCCAGTATAAACAAGATATGTAATGAACAGTACCATATCAAATCCCATGCAACACTGATTATTAGGGGGTTAAGCCACCCGCTCGGGCGATCCCCAGAGCTATGCTTCGTTGTGTTCTTTTTTTTGCCTAGCGTCCTACTCCTGCAGCCGGCAATATAACCCTTCTGTTAAATAAAGAATCAGCTGTGTCCTTCAATGAATGGAAGAGGTATGTTAATGTCTATGTAAATCTGATACACCTGACTGCTTTTGTTCTTTTCAGCAAACAAACATTGTACACCTCAGTTTTCAGGCCATGGTTACATTCAGTGATTGCTAGCACTTTATCACTGGTAATAACATAAAAAGCTGAAAATTTATGCTGCTTGATCTCTCCGCATGTTTTATCTATTTTGCATATAATGACATTGAAGATTATCATTTTTAATCCTAAAAAAAAAATTATGAAAAGGATGATGACACCTAGCTTTTCACATTTTCATCGACACACTTTGGTCCTTTGAAATCACTATTCAAATTGCAATTCTATTTTGTTTAACAAGACTAAGAGCAATCCATGAAATGTAGAAGCTGATACCGGCCAATCGGGATTCACCATTGGTCGCTATGAGTTACTTCAGTGCACTTCATCATTGCTCTTTGCATTGCCTTATTCAATGTATTTAAGTTGGATTCCACTGCTTGGTTCTTTTCTTCAGCAAGCTTAATGTACAGTATCTTATAAAGTACAAAGCTGCTGCCATAAAACAGATTGTTCTTACATGCCACCACTTCTGTCACAAATCCAAAAAATAAGATTTTAACAACTTCAGGACCATATGATGTACCTGTATGTCCTGGTCTTCGAGTGGTTATGCTGCTGCAGCCATGACCTTGGTATCATTCTTTTCAGCAAGCGATGCTTGTTCAGTACACGTCATCTGGGCTGCTGTACAGCCACCCAGATCACTTATAGCAGCCTGCTAATGTGCTCTTGGGGGTTTAAAGTAATTTCCTGCCCAAAAATTCACCTTTAAACATGTGTGTGACAAATGAAAAAAAAAATGCTACAGTACTAAGGTGGTTAATAAGATTCCTAATAATGTAATTCTTCATTTAGGGAATTTACTGCAAAGCTAAGCACTTGTCTCATAAGCCTCTGACTGAAGCAGCCATTCTCTGACTTACATACCGCACACTATTTCTGGGGTAGTCAAGCTTCATTTCAAGTAATGTCACTGCCATACAGCTATAATGCATAGACGTAGGACAGCTTCTATCAAAGGTTTCTTCATGCCCCAGTAGCTAACTGCATCTAGAATCCCTGACTGACAGCACAGATACAACCTAATTTATAGAAAAATGTATCTAAGTAGATATAGCTGTTTTAGATTTAGGTTTATAAGTTGCCCCAGCTATGGAACAAGGCTTAGGGAGCAGCCCTTACTGTTCTTAATGGGAAAATATAGTTTTCCTTATTTTAGTTAAACATGACAAACAGATCTGCTGGATGCAAACAGTATGCAGTATTGTGCAGTGCTTGTGCCTAATCTACCAGTCAGGATTAAAGGTGGCCATACACTGTGCGAATTTAAGCTGGTTCTTGATGAACCGGGGCGAAATTCGCACAGTGTGTGCCGCTGTCAGCACCCTTTCAGCTGAAATCCCTTGATCAGCTGATCGAAGGAGTTGGAAAATCTTTAAACGAACAGAGTCGTAGTCAAAGAGCTGCCGGCTCTGTTCGAGTATTCTGACAGTGGCTGGCGGCCACCGTCAACATACAATGAAGATATCGGGAGATTCCTCAATCAACACTCCTAGGCATTGATGGAGGAATCTGTTATATTTTCTTTGTTCAGCCTGCGGGTTGAAGGAAGAAAATATCAGTCTATGGGCAGCTTAACTAATTAAAAAAGACAACATAATCTTATCAGTTGTTGACCTGGGAGGCTGAATAGATGAAATCTACATTGTACATCTGTTTAGGTAGTAGTTATGTAAATAGGGCGCAGCAAACCTGCATAAATGTGAAAGGTGCATGAAAGTAACAACTATTTTAAAGGAGAACTATGAGGTGAGTGCTTTTCACTCAGCTCATAGTTCTAGCCGACCTGTGACAATGAGACTGTCACAGGTCGGCTCAGTAGATCGGGAGGTGAGCGAACACATACCGGTGTTTGCTCACTTCTTGATCCTGTCACGGCTCTCTGCTGTGACAGGGGAGGGGCTGGATTCCCCTCTCCCCGCTCCGATCCTCCAGCGCTGACTGGCGGAACGAACGGGGAGGGGGCGGGTACAGCTGGCTCTGCCTCTATATAGGCAGAGCCAGCTGTCAGTCACGCAGCTGGGCGGATCCCGGCATAATTGTCGGGATCCGCTTCAGCTGTGGCGTCTCAGTATACCGAGCCTAGGGTGACGGGAGGACGTTAGTTTGCGTCCTCCAGTTACCCTAAGGAGAACTATGGGGAAAAGCCTTAACCCCATAGTTCTCCTTTAAGGTAAATTTCAGCAATAACTCAAAATATGTTATAAAGAATATACACTATAGTCTACAGGCAGTCCCCGAGTTACATACATACGACTCCTACTTACAAACATAGGCTATTACTGTACAGCTGGGGTAGTTGTAATGCTATCATGCTCGTGCTGACGAGGAGTGCCCACCTTTTTGGGTCTGGTTTGCATTGCTGTACGTACATTACAGGAGGTTGGCTCATTAGACGTGCAGACAAGGGGCGCCCACCTCTTCTTCCAGGTCACTGTGAGGGTTTGTACTGCTGTCTGTACCCTCATTAGAAAGATGTAATCTCACTTCCTGCCCTTGAGACAACAGGAAGTGAGAGGAAATCTACCCATAGGAAGGGAAATTCACTCCTGTAAGAATGATCATAGGAAAAAGGTGTCTCCACTGAGGTTTTATCACCAATCCTTTTTTCCACGACAACCCAAAATTTTAAAAATCCAATTGTCACAGGGACAGAAAGTGAGGTGAAATCTTCTGAACAGGGGCACACACAGCAGAACAAACTTTACAGGGGTTAACCCTTCCCCATGCTATCCAAAACTAAAAAACATTTTTTGGGCTGTAGTTACACTTAAAAATGTACCTGTTCCAACTTACATACAAATTTAACTTAAGAACAATCCTACAGTCCCTATCTTGTTCTTAATCCGCGGACTGCCTGTACCTAAACAAAGGATATATCTTGTTTTCTGGATTTCTGATAGATGTGATGACATATATAAAACCTTTTGTTTTAAGACTGCAGTGCTATATTATATAATCAGTCAGATTATAGTGATAAGACCACAGATGGTGAAAATGAGGCTTATGTCATAGATACTTCCATAATCCTCGTTCACCCGGGCAGCCAATGGGCAGACAAAACAGGCGTTGATCCGTGTTTTTACCAACTCCCCTAACCACCCACCTCAAACTTAATATAGCGGCAGCTTATGTCTGTACACATGCCGCAGCAAATTTTAAACAGCATGTCACATTTGGCAGGTGATGCCCCTTGCCAAACACAACCATTGCAATTAATGGGTCCCCACAGTAACCACGCAGTTGCAGTGCAGTATTGCAATAGAATATCCCCATTGGGATTTAAAATCAGGAGAAAAAAACAAACAAAAAACAGCATTGAGGAGGTGCCAGTATTGCCTACTGAACACTGAGAAGTTGCTGCTCTATTGCCCTTTGAAAAGTGGTCTACCGTGAATTGCTATCAGAGAGGCGGTGGAGTCTGCCACCTATGTGAACAAGGCATTGTACAGCATTTCTTGTAAGATAAGCACCTGATCCTATGCCCAACATCACTTCAGAGACTTGCATACACTGTATCATAAAAACACATCATGGCATTGTCTGGGGATATTTACATTGTAGCAAAAAATAAGCAACAAAATCTTTTTTTAAACCACAATAGCTGAACAGAACACTGGCTTCCACCTAAGAAGTACAGAGGTGATGTGGAAAAGTTAAAAATAAACTCAAAGCTGCATCCATGGTTATAAAAACAACCTACGCACATGACAATTGTTCCTTTTCTGTCTGCCTAGTTCCTAGTCACTCCGTCTCTTGTTGGAACATTTGCAGCAGATGCTAACATTGGATCTGAGCAGCACATGGTCAGTCACCAAAGATACTGCAAGCGTCAGAGCAGCGGGTCAACAACCCAAATGATCAGTTTGCTCCTAATTTTGGTGAACAGCAACCGTAATGTTACTAAATAAAATAGTAATAGAAAAAAAATCTAACAATCCACTCTGATCAGAGCAAACTTTCCATCCTGTTGGTTAAAAGGGTCATGTTATTGGACATTGCTGGTTAAACTACTAGATGAGCCGCTCAATCCGTTTTCAGCCTTCTGAAGAGTTCTGACGGCACTTGGAACCTGTAATCCTGTGTACAGTGTGATCCCACCACACCATGCCTGGAAAACAAATAAACACATCAAAGAAACGTTAGAATGCTTGGACTTCCACTACAAAGGCACACCAAGTGAAATATTTCTGTTATAGAACAGAGCTCTAAAGCCTTATGTATATAAACTCAGTGAATACTGCAGCTTACCAGTCCTTAGATGGGGGGGTCAACAGACCAAAAGGACACAAATAAGAAAAGTTCATTGTTACCTGTAACCTATAATAGTCCTCGCACCATTTCTGCCTGATATTTTTGTGAATGTTTTCATTTTTATTCTCATAATGAAACTATGGGGGTCATTCACAAAAGGGTGAAGAGTTTGGAGTAGGCAGGAGAAGTGAACAATCTAGGACAAAAATAGCTGATTTGGAAAAATTCTCCAATTCCGCTCACTTTCCAGTTCAGCTATGTTGTCCTAGATTGTTCACTTCTCCTGCCTTCTCCAAACTCTCCACCCTTTGGTGAATAACCCCCTAGGTGTTTATAAAAGCAATTGTTGTCTGTGTGTCCTAGTGGTTACTTCCTTTCTTCAGTTGCTGAAAAATGCCAATCGCCACTATAGTGTGAACAAGCCCTCAGCTAAACCTTGGACAATGTCAAGAAGGGCTAAAGGTTTTTTCATTGCTGTCTGTGTCTCTGTCAAGGAGATTTTCCCTTATGACTGGGTAGGTACAGGTAACAGATGGTCCCGGAAACAGGAATAGAAGGAAAATCTCTCCAACAGGAATGGAGACAACAATATAATAAAATGTAAAATGTGGAATGTTGGTTTTATTGCTGTCATTAAAAAGGTTGGATGGAGTTTTACTTCAAAACAGACCTTTAGTGTAGACTGCACTTAACTAGCAGAGCATAAGGTATCACAGCGTACTGTAATAACTCATCTGCCCATGTTGCCACCGGAGCCATCTACACTTCATATACAAATACCAGCATTGTAAAATTCTGTATATGTTTAGCTCTTCGAAACCTTGCGAGGGTTCGGGTATATATACCAAATAATGGGTTGTGAAATGAAGAAAAAGGGGCTATTTTCTCCATATGGTGCCAGCTAGCCAAATACACTCTTAGTTTAACTAGTACTGCCATGCTACAGATTTATTTTACCCAGGGCTTTAGCCTCTAAATAAGGATGCAATGCCTGAAACATGTTTCAGCAGATCGAAGGATCGCACACCCAATATCAGCCATGGTGAACCTATGGCACGCAGAGGCCCCTCTGGTGGCACGCGAGCCTAGGCAGGGGTTTCAAAATCCTATCGCCCGACGGCGGGACATGCAGTTCCAGGCGTCGGGCAGGTAGTTTTTTTCTACATTTAGCCCTGCTTCAGGGAAACAAGGCTAAATGTACAGCAGGAAAGCCAGTCTTTTAGTACAAGTGATCCCAGTAAAAGGGACCATGGCAACAGGGAACAGAGCAGAGAACGTCCATTCAATGTGTAATATTGTATAATGTAAAGCTCCCGACCGACTGTTTAATTACAACAGCCGGCTGGGAAGCTACTTGTCCTCTCGTCACAGACGCCGGAGCCGGACGAGTAGCTTCCAAGCCCTGGCAATATAGTATGTGTCTTCTTTTTTTTTGTAATTAGGGATGCACCGATATATCGGCCGCCAAAATGCTAAATGCCGAAAGTGCCATTTTCCTGCCGATACATCGGTGCATTCATTCTTTCTCTCCTCCCCGCTGGGTGCTGCTCTGTGTCCCAGCGGAGAGGAGAGAAACTGATAGCTGGCCGAGCGCTGTGGGAGGAGAGCGCTGTGAGCGGCCGGCATCTCTCCTCCCACACCGCTCAGCCTCCTATCACAGTCCGGCAGAGCGGTGTGTGGGCGGAAACAGCCCACGCTGTCACAGGAGGCTGAGCTCTCCTCCCTGCTCCGCTCGCTCAGCCTCCTGTGACAGCGTGTCAGAGAGGAGAGTGAGTGCAAACACTCAGCAATCAGTGATTGCAGAGTGTCTGTAATTAACTGAGGACATAGTACGTGTACTATATCCTCAATTATGAATGAAAGGGAGTGATCTACATCACCTCCTGTTCACTCATAGTTGTAGTTATAGTAAACACACAATGTCCTCATGTTATGAATGAACAGGAACACTCAGTATAGAGGATTCTTTCTCATTGATAACACGGGCTGCAGAAAAAGAGATTGAGGACTTTGTCTCTCTTAAAAGGGAAATATCAGGGGTCTGTTTAGACCCCTAATATTTCTCCGAAGCCCCTGAAAGTAAAGTAAAAAATATTTAATAAAAAATGAATTAATAAATAAAAAATTTCGGTGCACCTCTTATTGTAATATATTTGGCATTCCATTAAAACATAGGAAACCTTACCATGCGGGTTTCAAGCAAACACCCGCTTATCATTAAGCGCATGTTTGCATGAAACACGTATGTTTTACTGCAATGCCTAATATATTACAGTAAGGAAAAAAGCTGCATACTATATTGGACTGCTGCCATCCTTTCTATTAATAAATTCACAATTGGCAAAAACAGTAGAAGCAGTGAGGGGAGTTGACTGCTAGAGGAACTGTCCTTTGCTAGAGTCAAAGGAGGACCCTTTGAGATTAGTTTTCTTACAGGCTACCCTCAACATAATAGCCTTTGACATGATCCTGACAAAAAGGTTTTTGCCGACAACGTACATTTTCAGACCTCTGTCAGCCCAGGACAATGTGGGCACTCAGTGTACTGGTGGCCAGAGTTCTGTCAAGAAGCAAGTATATTTTTCATGCCTATGATCAAAATTGATAATCGATTAGACTCTGTCAACTAGCATAAAGTCGAACGAACTTTCTTTCTTAAGAAAGTTCTTTTGAAAATCTAAGCAACATATGGCCAGCTTTAGGCATTACAAGAGTCTCACAGCCACAAGCATGACACCGAGAAGCAGATGCATGATGGGAATTAAAGTTTCACCACAGCTAAAGGACTGCAGTTTGCCTACCCCTGGTATAGAATCAATGAAATGTAAACAAAATTGTGTAACATTGTATACTTGCCATAAATGCAGGAACAACTGGCTGTGTAAATTTTGTTTTAAAGCTATGAAGTAATTGCTTCGTGCTGGCATTGTAAAATGAAAGTTGACCTGTGAAGAGAATAATAATCACTGGTGTAAACAAAATAAATCCACAGAACATTAAATATAACAAAACCAATTCAAAAATCAAGAGAGGTAATAAAAGTAAAAAATGGCACAGGTAAGAAATAATTGCTTTGCAATAACAGGCAATAATACAGAGAAATTAGGAAAAGTTATACTGGCGTGAACGAAATCCAATTTAAGTTCTAGTCCTGTTTTATAGTAGTTTAAAAAAAACAAACAAACCAGAATTAAAACCAAAGTTTTAAGCAGTATTACAGCAGTATATTATAGCAGAAGCAACAGTACACAGTAGTTTTTTTCATACTCCACGTGAAGCACTAAATACACGGTTGAAATACATATGTTTACTGTAATAGGATTTATGGTTTTGGCCACCCATGCTTGTGATATATACAACTCTGCTAGTTGGTAAGATCATTTTACATATACTTTAAGTCAGACTGCCATTGCTAGTCTTTTTTGACAAATAATGATTTCTAAAAAGAGACTAGCAATGGCAGCAAACATATTTCTACCATGGCAGGTAAGCATTCATATAATTACATTACATACATTAATAGCAAGATAATAAACCACATGCTAACTAAAAAGTTACCTCCATCGAAGTCACAGTATACACCTATTTTATCGGGTACGGATACTTCCAAGGCTTTGGCCTTGTTGTTGTGCTTTGCAGCAAATGTTGCCTGTAGCCAGTTGTTCACGTGTAAGCACCAGCTTGTATTAGTCTTCCCTAGCTGGTCAAACTTGCCAATTGTCTTATATGTGACGCCAACACTGTAGGATTTGCAGTCTTTCTGAGCTTTTACTTCCCAATAATGCTGTCCACTTTCAATTGTTGTATCACCTGTATGGATAACCATTAGCATTATTAAGAGACCGCTGGCTTACTTTGAAGGTGCTTTCACATCAGTTAAAGCTCAACTTTAGTGAAAAAATTATTTATAGTGGTTTTGAATAGCATTGGGAAAGTTAGACCACCATCAGTTTTTTTAGTGTGTCTGCAAAGAATTACCTTGTCCAGCTGCCTTCCCAGAGATCCTCTGCTGTTAAGTCCCACGCAGATCACATTCCCAGCGCTCCTCTGGTGATACTACAGGCCATGCTTCAACTGGGCATCCTCTTCCCTGCTCTTACAGGCCAAGGTATCCTGACAACAGTGTGGCCTGGCCTCCATGTGTCCTGTTGCCAGACAAGGCCTGGAGCTCAGTCCTCCTTGCTTACCAAATTTGCACCATGGCTTGTAATAGAATAACCCACATGTTCACAAGCTGCTCTGTCTGAATTTATCTGCCGGCTGTGTACTGACCCTAGCCTGTTTTTGACCTTGTCTGCTGCCTGAACCATCACTGCCTGTTACTGACCACTTCTGCTTGCTGCCTGTACCGACCTCATGCCTGTTTACTGACCATGTCTCTGTCTGCTGCCACAACCTCCCTCTTAGAATGCTCCTGCTACGCTCAGACAGATTTCTATTGTCATAGTTTATGTAAAAAGCTAATAAAAACATTCAGAATGCATGCTTAGACAGAACCCGGGATGACTGACATTTGTGTAGCTATCCTCAGCAGGTTATTTTATGTTATCGGACATTTTAGGCCACATTAAGCTTTCAAGTGGCAGCCACTTCCTCTGTGGGATTAATGCACAGATAATCATTTGCTTGATGAAAAATATCCTTATGCTACATTTTTCGCAAATGTTAATTAGTTCTCACAAGTTCCTTAAACCCCTAACCTTTTTTATTTAATAATTAGCTGAAAAAAAAAGTCACTGACTTGAAATATGCATGCAGGATAATGAGGTCTGCCTTTAATGAATGCATGCTTCAAGTCAGTGACTCACTAAGTAGCATAGCCAGTATCAATATGTTCCCCAGAACCTAAGAGTAGGCAGCACAAGAAGTGGTCCTTACTGGCCCTTGAGGCAGGCAAGGGCATGGTGTGCAGGCAGGGCATAGCTCAAGGAGGTGGAAGTTGAGTCCTTAGGAAACAAACTGAAACCAAGATCAACATGACCCAAAAATAGACTTTCTGCCTGTAAAGTTGACTAGCAGGACTTTTACTTTGAAAAGTTTAAAATGGGTAATAGATTAAGTTGAGGTCTCTTCTTTCCAGAAGAAGCAACTGTAAAAATATTAACAGACACAGAAATGAAATACCGCATTCCCAGCTCTCTCCTAAAATGTCCTTATTGATTCTGCCCTTCAGAGCCTTAATAGTTATGAAAATGTTTATCGATCTAGTTTTCTGTGGGTCTGGTGAGGCCCTGATTGATAGGTCTACAATGTACCAAGGTCCACTCCCAGCTATTAACTGGTCGAACATGCTAATATGGACAATATTTCTCCAATCTGCCGCACAAAACCGAGGTCCATAAAAATCCAACTTTATTGTTGTAAATTCCATGCAAAGTTCAAACTACAAGGTATACACCATAGTATCTCTCCCAGGTGGAACTGGAGCGGTGAGTCTTTTGCTTTTTTGGATAATGCTAATATGGACAAGTGCAGGCTCTCAGACTGGATGATAAAATGGAAAGGAGGTCCGAGCTTATGCCCTATGCTACAACCTGGACCTGGCATCCAGAGGCAATGACAATTTGCCGACATATGTGAACTGGACATGTTTCTCAATTGTATAAAGGAGTAAGTAAGCTGGGAGTAAACCAGAATGGCTACCTTGTCCACATGAAGCTAAAAACCTAATTTAAACTAGAATGAGACATCAGTACTTACCCAAAACTGTGTAAGATTCTCCTATAAATCGGTCTCTGCTGCCCCTGCTCACAGGGGGCCTAGAAGTGACAGAAGTTCTTTTCGGGGATGGTGTTGCACTTCTGCAGAGCACAGGGGGAAAAAAAAATACATGAAACCACTGTATCAAAGGCAGAACCAAAGACATTTGCACATATCAATACATTAGAACTCAAAGAGACAGTTATTACAACAGGAGTTTCAACTGTTCAGACTGGGACAAGCTTTGAGTGTACTTTCTGGATTGCCTTCAACACAACAGTATTGTAAATATAATATAGTATAATCATCAAAGTTCCCACTTTTCAGCCTGCTTAGGGCCAGCACAGTTTTTGTCCTACCGGACCCTTAAACTTGCTTTATGTTAAGGCAGAGGAAGAGAATAATAGTTATTAATCTGCCTTGTAGCACTGGGGCTCCCTGGTTCGAATTCCTTGCCAGGTCACTATCTGCAAGGAGTTTGCCTGTTCTCCCTCCAAAGACATGGGGGAAGGTTAATTGGCTCCTGTCCAAATTGGCCCTTGCATCTGTGCATGTGACATAGGAACCTTAGATTGTAAGCTCCTTGAGGGCAGGGACAGATGTGAATGGCCACTGTGAAAGCACTGCGCAAAATGTTGGCGTTTTTTAAATACCAATAATAGTAATAAATAATCTCTAGCTCAGCGTATCCAAATCTTTGCCTTTTTGGATATACAGGCCTATTTACTGTGACACAGATTAATGATCCACTGAAAAAAGTGGATGTTGCTCCAAGAAATTAGGAACGACATTTATTTTGCTTAAATTCACATGTGTACAGTATTTCTGACAAGTTGCTGTATGTTTAACAGTATTTGATATTCCTGAAAATCTATAATGGTAACATGAAAAAATCTACATTGTATTCCAATTTTTAGCTTTTTTAACAAATAAAATAAAAATAAAAAATGGTTGCATTGAATTTTGCCCTCTTTGCTTTGAAACCCCTAAATAAGCGTATGAACTACCAATTATCTTCAAACATTAAAAAAACTAGAAGAATGGAGTCCAACTGTGTGAAAATAAAGTGTGACATCTTAGCTATCTAAACAAGGAGTGTTATGACCATGCCGGCTCGACAAAAAAGTCGATTACTTCTCTTGTTGAAGAGGTCGGCAGATAACTGTCAGCTGCAGTAACTGTGTAGGTATTCTGACAGTGGCTGTACAGCCAAACCAACCAGCTTGTCTTTTAAAAAAAGGTAAAAACAAATTCTAGTAAACAGAGAGGCAGAGGTGACAGGAAGTAGGGGGCCACAGGGTGAACAAGGCAACTCTGGTGGTTGTTTGTTTTAATGACTGACCCATTTCCCAGGTCCTAAACTACAATGTACCAAGGTCCACTGAAAGAAAGTTGAGAGCAGCTTCCAGAAGGTGCACCCACAGGTCTGATCTAACCTTTGTTCTGCATTTACTCAGCTGCTTTATTAGGCCTTTTATTAGGTCATGTTTGTCCAGTCTTCCCCCAATCCCATATAAGGCTTCCCAATGTATTCTTATACTTTCTATTACAAGACCATGCATGGCACACAGATTTAGGTGTACATTTCTGTGTTTGAACTAACCTATGTGTTTTAATTTGTACCTTTTCTACAACTATTTCAAAAGATGTCCAAAAGTAAACATGCACAGCTCTGTGGGTGGTCTCACAAAATAGCCAGCAAAGCAACAAACTGCAGAAAAATATTACATTGTGAAGATGAATACAGAAAAACTGGATACCCTGCACTTCCTGGTAATAAGCCATCTAGGCAGCCTTCTATTTGCATCTTTGAAGATTAATGTCATCAAGCTTCCTTTTTTTCTAAGCTGCACATCCCTCCTCTTTTTTAATAAATCTTTGCACTCCCCAATTTTCCTAGCAGTGCAGACAGCTGAGACAGCCTTATGGAAGTCTATGGAGATTGACTGGGCAGAGGCACCCAATGGAAAGGAAATTTCAGCTGCAGACTGTCAACATTTCAGCAGGGTGTGGCCTTGTTGGGTGGGCAGTCAAATGTGCAAGCAAGACTATACACACCAACAAGGTTTCTAAAATGTTATTAAAGTAAAGTAAGCTACACACTCTTATATTTTTTCTGTTCAACCTGGGGGCTGAACAAAAAAGAAAATATAACGGATTTCTCCACGCATGCTGAACACAATGCATGGACAAGTCTCCTGTCGTGAGCTTTGTATTCTGACGGTGGCACCGGCCTCTGTTCTGCCGAGGGAATAGGGTCACAAAGGAAGCGAATTTCGGCAGATTCAGCAAATTTGCTCCTTGTGAACCCAGTATGCATCAATAAATGGATTATAGATTACCTATAACTGATAATCTATAAAGTAAAATGTATATAAAAATTATTAGCAGCAGCTGTACAACATACTTTTTTGGGACGCTGTGCAGAGTAATTTTACAAGTAACTTCTAACTTTTTTAAATACCGGTTTGTATTTTTATCAAAAACATGGAGTGAATTCTACCAAAACTAAGTAAAACAGCCAAGTCATTCAGATGTCAGCTCAGATAACAAAAATAGAATCAAGCTCAGTTAGGAGGTGTGGGGTGACTATAACAAAGAATAAGCAGAGGTTACTTACCAAAATAAATAGATGCATATGCAAGCATGGAAAAGAAGTAAAGACACAAGCCAAGCTAAGAACACAAATTGAATTTTAAAGCAATACGCTCTTAAATAAACATTCAGTTCCATGTGAGGGAATTCTCCGGGAGTCCTGTCTACTGAGACGAGGCAGAAACTCCAGGTACTTCCCTCATATACTGTAGAAATGTGATCACTTATGGACAAGATCTTTCCATACTTTGGGATACAAATCTCTGATGTAGAAAATATTATCTTATTTGCACTGATAAACTAAGCCACTGACATTAGAGTATTTGTCCATAAATGATGTATGCATACATGTAAAGGGAAAAAAAAAGGCAATTCAGTTTTAGCAAACAAAATCCAGCAGCCTATCAGAGATAAAAGAAAGCACTTTTACTGGTATTTTTGTAACTAGCAAATTAAGATGCAGGCCTTGTTCCAGACATGTGCTTAAAAATAAAGAGGCAAGCAAGCTACATTAAAAGGCAAAATCTTTGTGTGAGAAACCTTTGTTGGAAGCGGTCATTCTCATATTGAAGGCAGTGACATCATCTGCACTGAATCTGAATAGGTTTAACTTCACTACTCTGGAACTATTTGTGTTCAGTTCAAAAGTCGGAATAGCAGCACTTTTAATGACCTAATGGTTTATAGTTTGGTCATGTGAGTTTGAGATAACTAGGAAGGCTAGTTGCAGTTTGCTTGTCATAGCGCTTCTCTGTGAATGACAGAAAGTAAGTAAAGGGTCAGTTATAAAAAGAAAATGCTTGAGCAACGTGACCAGCTATTTATGTGCATCCTCAATTAAGTCAAGTGTAGATGTGTCCATCTGCACATGGACATAATGTACTATAAAAAGTCTTGGTTAACATCACCTTTAAAGTCCAACAAACCCCTTAAATCAGACGTATTGGGAGAGTAAAATATACTCTTCCCAACACTTAGAGCTGGTGTGGGACACTGCTCTATATCCCGAGAGCTGAGCGATCATGAGACTGTTGATCACTCAGCTCACGATCTTCTCTTTACAAAGCCTAGAGACTGACAGATTCCCCTCTCTCCTCTCTGTGCCTCCAGCACTCACTGAAGGGTCAGACAGGGGAGGGGGCGGGCACATCTGGCTTTGGCTCTAGAGAGTATTTTTGTCGGGATCCTTCCCGGATGCAGTGCGGCTCTGCGAGGTCAGCTTAGATTTAGCAGTAGCCCGCTATATACCGACTTTGGGTCACAGGAGTACATTAGTAGATGTATTCCTGTGACCCAAAAGAAAAAAGGTTTGGCTTTACTTCTATTTTAATCAGTTATAAAGTTGTATTGTCTCCCACAATAATGCTTAGTGACTGTTTCTATACATACATAGATATTTATACATAAATACAATATTATAATGAGGGGGACAGCTCTAATTCCCTTATGTGCAGCAAGGCCACTTTTGCAGTACATTTTCATTTACCATCAATACAGAATTTGAGGCTGTACAACACCCTATATTAAATAAATGTTTGTATAAATGTTTGTATAGTGCAAATAACTGAGAGGAAGGTCCATTTTGTTTTATGTTTACCATGCTACATTACACTAACATGCGTTAGGACATTGACAGAAGTAGGGGGTTTCTTGTCCCCTTAAGCACTTCAGCTCTTACACCTATACACCACCTATAGACCAGAGCAACTTTTACATTTCTGTTATGGGCTCATTGATTCAGCAATAACCTTATCATTGCTTAAGATAACAAAGTAATCCATACATAGTTTTTTTTAGTGCGACAAGGTTTTCGGTTGGTGGTATTGTCTTGAAAAAAAGATTTTCTTTTTTATGCAGTCCATAAAAATTTTAAAAAAAAACACTTTTTTTCCAATTCAATCAGTGTTATTGTAGATAAAAAGTATACATTGTATTCTATGACTGTCCTATTTAAAAGGCCACTAAAGTTATGATTATTATGGCCCATGTTGGTCTTTGGGCAGTCGGATGTAAGCAGACACGTGTCCATTTTAATCTGATTACCTCCAATCCATACCATTTCAGGTTTAATTTTTGTTTTTAATTTTTCAGAACTTGCCGGATTCAGAGGTAATCAGATGTAAATGGACGCAAGTTAACATCGAGCTTCGATCAGGTCCGTTTGAGAAACTGACAGCTGGATGTGTGAAAGGCCAAAGGCCCCTTTCAGTTGTGTTCTGATCATATGTGCACAGATCCCCTGCAGATCGAAGCAGTAGGAAATGAATGTCACCACTGTGACATCTGCGCCCATCTAGTTTTTAATACACTGTATTACTTGTGGCTTTCTACATGAAGTGAGACCCCATTTGCATGTGTGAAAATAGAGAACACTATACTCAGTTCTCTTAAAACTTGAACAAATCTGTTCATCATACTTTCTACTAATCGATAATGTTTCAAATTACGTCTTATTCTCTCACTCGTCCTATCCCCAAATACAACCTTCACCAAAGATGCTGGTTTCCCCACAGCCATGGATATAGCTGTTGAGTACAGATTATACAGCTGAAACAAAATCACACTATATTAGAACAGTCTTTAGATGAGTGCTTTCTATGATCAAAGAAGAGGCTAGCCAGACCAATTGTATGACGTGTTAATGAAAATAAACTAGGGTTAGAAACAGTTGTATGCTAGAGAATCCAGGCAAGTCAGAAAGAGCTCCTAGTGCTACTCATATCTATATTGTCTTCACCTGGGACTGTTCTTCAACGTAACATGGCCACTGTCAGACAACAGAAATAGGCAAAATGGTAAGACATCTTGAGACATTTGATAATGAAGAGTAATGGAACACTTTGACGATAAGATTAAAACAGGAAATATGCCAGTCTGTTAGAATCAATAATGTTTCTTGCTAGAATATACAACTGGGGCTTTGACATTAGAGATGTTTCACTTTAAAGTTGTCATATTTTTTAAAGGTATTTTCAAATTAGAAGATTTAATGCATTATGCCCATATAAAAAGGGCAGAGGTTAGCGTGACCCTATTAAGGATGTGGAGGCCTACACGGCAATAAGGACTGTAGCATCAACTGAGAACACCGCAAGATTCTGTGACCATATTGACATGGAACAAAAGGGGATTGGAAACTTTACTGACTGGCCATCTGTATTTAGCTTTTCAGCTTAAAGCGGACCTTTACACTCAAAAATCAAATTCTACCAATGCATCCCTCTATGTATGATGATTAATAATAACATAAACATGTCCGGTGTAAAATGCTGTGATTTATGAAATACTTACACTTGCAGAGCATTCACTTCCTGCTTTGAAAGTGCAAATGACTTCAGTTTGCCAAAGCAATGCACACTGGGATTGCTTTGTCATCAGCAGAGCATTGCTGGGAAATCTCATCTGTAATCTCATGAGATCTCAGGGAAAGGCATTTTCTTCCCTTGAGATGATGTGCATGGTCACATGTCCTAGTCACATGTGCCAGAAATCGAGGAAGTAATAGCAAATAGAGCAATCTGCCCTTAGTAAACATGGCCATTGTCAGAAGACTGGGGAAGAAAAGAGAACTAAGGTATGCAAAGAATACAAAGCCTGCAATTATCTAGAAGTATGTGCTTGTAGATTGTCATTACTAAACATTTCTAAAGGTGTGTTTGTTGTTATTTTAAAGATATGGGTAAAGGTCCGCTTTAAAGAAAACCTTTATTGAGAAATGGGAGTCGCCACTGCTTAATGTGGCCTTACAGTGCTAGTTGCCTGTCTTATTTTTTTACAATTTACTAATCCTAAAAAAAACATTTACTAATTCTAAACAAGTATGTAGAAAGTAAAGCCAGAACCCCTAATCTTCATCCGTATTCTGAGCCAGAAAATGAATTGAAGCCACTGGATCAGAATGATAATCAGGAAGCTAGCATTTTCAGAAGAAGTCTGCATTGGCAGTCTAGGCAACTCTCTCAGCACTGGTTTACTTCAGTACAATCTTTCACACAGAGCCTTGAAGAACACTCAAGTGCATATTAGGCATGCAGGCCGAGCATTTGCTTTTGGCATTTGTGTTTATCCGATCTCAGTGAGAAAGAATAACTTTACTGAAAGCTAAAAACGCATATCTAAGCAAATAGTATAGTAGATCTTTGCTTTGAGAGTTACTATTAAAAATGGGTCTAACTAATGCCATACCGCATACTATACCATACCATACCATACCATAAACTCTTTATTGACTTCCTATTAGGGTTGCACAGATACCAAGTACAGTACTCGGTACAAGTACGAGTACATGTACCGATACTTTTGAGCTCCAAGACTACACTAGAGAAAAATTTAAAAATTAGGAGGCGGCTGTGATTTGTAAGGAGCAAACGGAGCTCCCGGGATTTGTACATCTCTGATTTAATGTATGATTTTGTTTTTTATAACTATAAATAAATGGATGCACAGATACCAGTTTTGCGAGTACGAGTACTGATACTTGCCGAGTACTTACAAGTACTGATACATTTTTGTTTATTGTCATGTGACGGTTTTTCTAAAACAATATCGACTAATGATTTCAGGACAGTGGTGGAGTGCCAGAGCCAGGTCCCACCTGCAACCGCTGCCACCCTGGTAGTTCTCATGAAAATGCCTAGTATCTGCACTGGTACTCGAAAAGTATCTGTGCATCCCTACTTCCTATTAATATTGAAATGCAGTTATCAAAAGCAAAGACAAATAGACACATGATTGTTTCCAGGATAATGCATGCCGCAGATCAGCAGAACATTACACAGGGGATTTTTTTTCTTTTGGATAGATGAGAGTTCTGGTTAGTTGAATGCCGGATAACAGAGAGTTTACTGTATATACTTTTCTGACACAAGGTTTAAAATCAATTGTAGATCACTATGTATGTTGTGTTTATTTTCTACTTTACTGTTTTTTCTGGAAGGTTTATTTGATATATAACTGTAAAAGCTTTATGAAATTAAATTGACAAATTAATATAAAACATAACCTTGATGAAAAATGATGTCTGATGAGAAGGCACAGAGGTTCTTATAATTAAGTAACTTGCTTTCCAACAGAATTCTTAAAATTTCACACTTGTTGACATTGCTAGCAAGTGTATCACCATTGGCACAGACTGACATATTCTCACAATTACACAAAATTTGATGACGACAGCCAGTACATATAGATATTCACATCTACCTACCTGCCTTTGTTCTCCTTTCCTTTCACTTTGCTTTCTTGAGTTTTACCAGCCAGAGGATCCCATTCTACATATGAGTCTTCCACCTTCAGGTTCAGATGGGATGATGTGTTGTCAAGGCCAAAGATTAGTGCTGTATCACAACAGTTGGAAACGTTAAACAGTTTGAATGCTGAGAAACAACATAGACTGCTGCTAAAAAAGATAAATATTAGTTTACTAAAGCCTTGATTTTTCCCAACTTGCAAGGGCAGGCCAAAAGGGCAGTAACTAAAGACCAGGATACCTCTTCTACCAACATTCAAGTCAATGTTACCCATACACACCCTATGGTTCTGGCAGAATGACCCTATAATCTACATGACTGCACAAATCTGGAAATAATAATGTGCATGGGGCATCAGTAGACACCTTTAGCCAGGTGTTGTACAGAAAAGAAGCATTCGCATGGGTTAAAAAAAATTGTCTCTGATAAGCCAGCGTCAAATGTGTCTGCAGAGCACCTCCCCCTCACATCTCAAAGCCCTTAAATATCTATGCATGCCCTAAGGGGACAATAGTGGCAGTCTCCTTGAATGGGGATCTATTGGCCAGGGGTGTCTGCCGAGGGGAGAAGGTGTCCAGAAATGCCCAAGCATGTGAGTGTGGTACGAATGATATTTTATAGCATGCTACTTCTGACAACTTGAAGAGTATTCCCTTACATGAGATGCTACATAATGATCATACACTTATCCTCACTCCTGATACAAACGTGAAACATTATTGAATAGCTGCCCAGTTGTCTGGCTTCTGGCTGGAAAAATGGGGGAGCTAATTGCACAAACCACATTTCCTCTTGAAAACAAAAGAAAAAGCAGAGTGTTTACTCATGGCAACTAACCAGGTTTACTGTTCCGTGTTCCCAGCAAATGATAGATGAAACCTAATTAGCTGCTGTTAATTAGCTGCTACTGGCTATAGCTCTACTTTGCTCTAGTTTTTATATACTGGCATTCATTATTTGATACAAGTGAACTGGTTGATTACTATGGACAGAAGCTGTACTTTTGCTCCAAGCCAGTCCCATTTTTTTTGATAAAAGAAAACAGCTATCTCAAATACATTCCACGCTTATAAACAGATCAAGTCTGTACCTAAAATTCTTATGCAAGCTAAGGTAACGGATTTAAATGTTAGGGACCCCCTGATATAAATGCAAACCATCATTATGGTAAACATGACAAACAGTGCAAGAAAAAAAGATTACCGTACTTCTAACATCTACGCTCAGGGCTTCAAAGCTCATCAATAGTTAGTTCAAGGCACATCTTGGCTGGTACTAATGTGAAGTGACTGTGTGGCGTGAATGTTCAAGAGAAGGTTGGTGTCTTTAGCCTCTATAATTCACTGTGTATCACAGTCTCATTACTATACTTTAAGACGAAAACCCCCAGGATAAAACACTTTCACTGGAGGACTCAGCCTATCATACATTTTTCTATCATGGTCATCCTAAATAATAGAAACACAATACAAAGCTTAAATAGCATGTACATATGAGCAGAACCTCCAATGTCTTTCATCTGCAGCTTAAAAAAAGTGATTTACACCAAAACATGATGGATAATTATTAGATTTATAGGGAAGCCCATTGTATGTATTAACATAGAAGGTTCACCTTGTCATGCAAATCAAACAATAACTTAATATGTTTTGAACATGAAATACAGCAACAGAATACAGTAGTCTTACAAGCAAAAATGCACCTTTTACCCTGCCTATTATCCAATGGTGTATGTGAGCTGCCTTAACCCACACAGGCGGGGGAGAGCAGCGGGGATCTAAGGAGAAGCATGGAGCGGCTCCAGGCAGGGAGGAGAAGATGACAGAAGCCGGCGGCAGCGGTGCCGGCAGGGAGGCGCCCGGAATTTTTGTTATTATTTGTCATCAGTGGCTTCTGAGCCGCTGGTGACAGCTATTATTTTACAGGGGAGAGTCAGGAGAATCCTTCTGGTACAAGTTCATGGTCGCTAAAGCGACCATGGGTTTATAGCAGAAGAGTAAAAGCCACCGACGTATGCCATACTGACGTGGCCAGCTGCTGTTGTGTTCCGCCTTATGCCATATGACGGTGGCAGCGAAAGGGTTAAAGGGTCAGGACACTCAAAAGTATTAATACAGTTCCAGGTGGGTTGATCTACCCAGTGGTTTCACATGTTCATTATGGCTCTGTACCCACCAACTTGCAGTTTTGTGTATTCTCGATAATTTTTGGCATTTTCACCCCTCCTGCTACATTCTCCAAAATATAAAACAAATAAAATATCCTACAGAGAAAGTGGCCTGTCTTGTAATGACTGCAACATCTTGGCAGGACTGGGATCTGAAGAGCTCTAAACATCAGAGTCCTTGAGAGATAGAAGAAACCATTAGCTCTAACTCACCAGCATATACTAAAAGGCATATTCATTTTAGGTGAGCTAAACCTTAAAATAACCCTGTCGGTCACTTGAATGTACACCATAACTTAAAAAAAATACTGCATTCACTAAGCTTTCCAGCTGCACGTTGCTCAAATAGCCAGAGTCTTCTTTTAGCAGGTATGCTGTACATGTACAGTACATACAAGTAACCGTGTGCAGACAGGGTTACTTTTAAGAAAACCTGCCAGCATTTTTAAAGTACTGAAATTAAAAGTCCTACCTGATATCAGATTACCCTTTATTAACCTGAAAACCCTCTTTACACCTGGGGAACATGGGGAACTTTGGTACTCAGTGGTTGACTTCTCTGACTTCAAACTCTATCCCCAGAGCTAAGCCCCAGATACCAATCTTCTTTCCAATGAGAGCACTTAAGCAACCGATAAGTTTACTCCATAGATAGTGGGACAATGTGTGAGTGAGGCTTAGCCCCACAGGTAGAGTTTACCTCTAAAGCCTAGGCTCTAGTGCAGCCTTTCTCAATCACAGTGTCACAGCACCCTGGGTGCCTTCTGGCTTTGTCAGGGGTGCCTTCAAATTTTTGCACAGTGTCATGCTTTTCCATGATGCAGACGAGCCAGTCGCCAGCAACATCGAAACCCATGATGCTAATCCAGGGCAGGCTGCATCCAGGACCTCCCCCAGCATTCAGAAGAAGATAGAAGTCAGCCTCTGCCCAGGCCTGCTCCATGTCCCACCCTCTGCCAAGCTCCTGTACCTTGGCAGGGGCAACAAGCCAAAAGTCTGAGGTCGAGGTACACAGGGGAAATCCAAGAAGAATAGTCAGGTCCAATCCGGGTCGAGGCAGGCAGCTAATTTTGGTAACGGAAGGGTAAGCCAAAGGGTCAGTAATCGGCAACCAGGTAGCTTCTCCATCAGGAGCCAATGGCGAGAGAGGCAGAGGGTGCGTGCTGGGAACCTCCCCCAGCAAGGATCACACCTGACACCAGTAACGGGCGTAGGCGCACCACGCGCGCGTCCCCGTGCCTGCGCGCACAGCCTCTCCAATCCTACAGAGAAAGTGGCCTGTCTTGTAATGACTGCAACATCTTGGCAGGACTGGGATCTGAAGAGCTCTAAACATCAGAGTCCTTGAGAGATAGAAGAAACCATTAGCTCTAACTCACCAGCATATACTAAAAGGCATATTCATTTTAGGTGAGCTAAACCTTAAAATAACCCTGTCGGTCACTTGAATGTACACCATAACTTAAAAAAAATACTGCATTCACTAAGCTTTCCAGCTGCACGTTGCTCAAATAGCCAGAGTCTTCTTTTAGCAGGTATGCTGTACATGTACAGTACATACAAGTAACCGTGTGCAGACAGGGTTACTTTTAAGAAAACCTGCCAGCATTTTTAAAGTACTGAAATTAAAAGTCCTACCTGATATCAGATTACCCTTTATTAACCTGAAAACCCTCTTTACACCTGGGGAACATGGGGAACTTTGGTACTCAGTGGTTGACTTCTCTGACTTCAAACTCTATCCCCAGAGCTAAGCCCCAGATACCAATCTTCTTTCCAATGAGAGCACTTAAGCAACCGATAAGTTTACTCCATAGATAGTGGGACAATGTGTGAGTGAGGCTTAGCCCCACAGGTAGAGTTTACCTCTAAAGCCTAGGCTCTAGTGCAGCCTTTCTCAATCACAGTGTCACAGCACCCTGGGTGCCTTCTGGCTTTGTCAGGGGTGCCTTCAAATTTTTGCACAGTGTCATGCTTTTCCATGATGCAGACGAGCCAGTCGCCAGCAACATCGAAACCCATGATGCTAATCCAGGGCAGGCTGCATCCAGGACCTCCCCCAGCATTCAGAAGAAGATAGAAGTCAGCCTCTGCCCAGGCCTGCTCCATGTCCCACCCTCTGCCAAGCTCCTGTACCTTGGCAGGGGCAACAAGCCAAAAGTCTGAGGTCGAGGTACACAGGGGAAATCCAAGAAGAATAGTCAGGTCCAATCCGGGTCGAGGCAGGCAGCTAATTTTGGTAACGGAAGGGTAAGCCAAAGGGTCAGTAATCGGCAACCAGGTAGCTTCTCCATCAGGAGCCAATGGCGAGAGAGGCAGAGGGTGCGTGCTGGGAACCTCCCCCAGCAAGGATCACACCTGACACCAGTAACGGGCGTAGGCGCACCACGCGCGCGTCCCCGTGCCTGCGCGCACAGCCTCTCCACCGCGCAAGCGTTGCGCATTGCGCGCCCGCAATCCCGGCGCCAGGGGTCCTGCCAGGAAGGGGAACCCGTGCCCCCCGCCGCACATGGCAACCCCAAGGAGAGGTAAGCCCCCTGGTACCCTGACAGGGGGGCACCTGATATGAACGGGAGGGCATTTAATGTGTAGGGGGCTCCTGATGTGAATGGGGGACTCTGATATGAAAGGGAGGACTTAAAGTGGAAGGGGGCTTGAAAGGGAGGGGAGCATTTGATATGAAACTGTGGAGCTCTGATGAGAAGATGGGAGTCTATTATTTATTTATTTTTTGTTTTGCATGGGGCATCCCTTAAAATCCATACCAGACGCCTATCTAATAAGTGCCTGGTGTAGATTTTGGGGGAGCCACATTTTATTTTTTATACTGGGGTGCCTGGAGATTTTGCACACTTTTAAACTAGAAAAAGGTAGAGAAACACTGTTCTAGTGAAAGGGTATGCTAGGGTTACGAGGAATGAAGAAAGGGCTTTCAGGTTCATAAAGATAATAGCCAACACCATGCAGACTTTTAACTCTAATAATAGCAAAAGCTGATAGGTTTGCTTTAAAGTGACATTAAAGGATACATTTTTTCCCCTCCCCCCATGTTAATATCAGCACTTACCTTAAATGATGTCTCTTAATCCGATCTTCTTTCCCCATGTTTTCATCTGTCCCTCCAGCGCTGCTGCGGCTCTCCGATTCAGCGCTGACTCATCTGTCCTTGCTGGGACTGCCTGTCCCACGGTGTCTGCATGCGGGTGCACGCGTCCAAAGACTTACCTTGCGTCTCTGCTCGTCTCCCGGCCGAGAATCCGAACTGCGCATGCGCCCGCCTCAAGATGCTTTGCAGCCGCCGGAGCAGTTTCGGATTCTCGGACAGGAGCGCGCAGCCGAAACAAGGTAAGTGTTAAGCGCTGTTAAAGCGTTTATTTCTTTACTTTTTGCCTATATCTACTGCTTGATTGCAGTAGATATAGGCAAAAAAACGGGAGGGTTTAGAACCACTTTAAGAATTATTTGTTTCATAGCTGCATTTTAGAAAAGTGTATTCATTTGGTATAAAAATAAATAAACTAACTAGAGTTTCCTGTATGTGCACATTTTAGTACTTAACATGTCCTTAGCTATTACCAAGCAATGAATGCGTAAACTGTAGGGCTGCAACAACTAATCGACATAATCGATTATAATCGATTATTGAAAAAGTTGTCAACTTTTTCAATAATCGATTAATCGGCTTCCGATCAGTTGGCCCTGTTCACAGCTCCACACGCTGTGCGCCGCACCTCCTCCCCACCTCACGCTCGCCACTGCCAGACCCGCTCGCATCCACGCTCCACACGCCGCACCTCCTCCCCGCCTCACATTTCCTGCCCATCCACATCCATGATCGGCACAGGGACACGGGGAGAAGTAGTAAGGAGGAGCAGGTGTGGGGGATGACAGCTGCTGATAGACAGGTCCGATCGCAGAAGCACGTTGCTGGAAGACTGCTCAGGTAAGCCTACACTCCCCCCCCCACATGGTGCTCTATAAATGTATTGCTGGGATTTGTCGTCCTCTATAGCTGATGGTACATTCTGCTGTACTGTATATTATACAGAGCATGAACCTGTACCATCAGCTATAGAGGAATACAAATCCCAGCAATACATTGTACGCTGTATGTATAATGTATTGCTGGGATTTGTTGTACTCCTCTATAGCTGGTGATATTCTGCATTGCGCTGTATAGAGGACTACAAGTCCCAGCAATAATACATTATACAGCGCAATGCAGAATATCACCAACTATTATGTACTATTGCTGGGATTTGTTGTATTCCTCTATAGCCGGTGCCATTCTGCATGCATTGCTGTATAATTTTACACTTTCCATTTCACTATATTGCACACCACACTATCTTTTTTACTTCCACCGCTCCAAGCTTGCTCCTGTGATGGACTACAACCTCAATACAAACTAGTAGTCCTATCACTGGAGCCATTTTTTAAACTTTATTTTATAGTTTATCCGATTAACCGATTAATCGAACTTAATAATCGGCTAACTAATCGATTTTGAAAATAATCGTTAGCTGCAGCTCTAGTAAACTGCTAGAGTAGACTGAAATGTAATCAAAAGGAATCAGGTTAATGTGCTGTGAGATGCACCGTGCTTCACATAAAGCATAGCTTGTTGTCACTTGTGCAGTTCACAGCAGATTTCTTATAGCCAGGTTAACTTCTTGCTGGCAATCACCTCATTTGCAACACACAGATAAATCTACAAAGGGTTACTCTCAAGTAGGGGTGAACTCAGGTTTTGACTGAACCCAGTCCAAACCTGAACTCCTCCGAACAAGGAAGTACTATAGGCACTACCACCCAATTAGCTGCGCTTCGGGCATTCCCTGCCTCACAGCTGCATGTAAACAAAAGTGCGGGATGCTTGTGATGACATAATTTACGTAATATAGACATGTAGCCATATAAGGTCAACTGCATCCAATGCCTTTGCTTACATAAAGCTGGGGAAATCCCCATCGGCAACTGATTGGGTGACATGGAAGAAGCTTCCTTCAGTGTTTAAGAGGAGCTCCTTCCGGGTTCAGAGGTGCTCAGTCTGAACCTGAGCATATCTCTACTTTCCAGTGCTGTGCAATCCAAAATCTCTTAAATAGTTAGGTCCTAAAGGTTTAATGCTGCCTATAAAATAAAGCGGTTGACATGTCTTTTTCAATGGCACTCTTTATTCTTTTATCAGCTCTCTAACATTTATCTTTAAAGAGTAACTATACACTAAAGGTGGCCATACACCAGTAGAATTTTGTCTAAAAAATTGTTTTTGGAATTTTCGTTTGATTTTCAAATAGTTAATGGGTTCCAACTGACGACCGATAGTCAAAATTTGTGAATGCGGTTTTTGTTTGAGAACTCCATTCATTTCCAAAATTAAATATAATGATCAAACAAAATTTTGAATGACATTCTGCAAGTCTCTTATTTTAAAATCTACCAGTGTATTTTTTTTTTTATATATATATTTAGTATATTTAATTTTTTTATTTTTCTGAATGTTTTAACATGATTGATAATTGACATGTTTCTTACGAAGGAGGATTATCATGCATTTCGGATTGGTCACTATGAACTATGCAAACATTTGGAACAGTAAAATGTATTGAATTTGTTCTTTGCAGACCAGGGTCCTATCTTGATTGAATTTTATACAAATTCAAAGTATGCATAGAGGCACTGACAGGTCTTGCAGCGGAGATAAGTCAAGGCATCCGCATTTTATTATATATCAAGTCTTGATAAAGATGGACTCCTTCAAAATGCTGACAATTAAATGTGGATGCCTTGCCTTATCTCCTCTGCAAGACCCGTCAGTGCCTCTTATGCATACTTTGAATTTGTACGGATATTTGTGTGAATGAGCACCTGGCATTTACCTTACAAATGGTGGTGGCTACCCCTTGGACTGCAGATTTAATTTCAGGTATAATATTAGTCTGTACTTGAAAGGCTTGTATTTATTTTGTATGTATGATCCCGGTTTATTATGAGTTTTGCATCTACAGGACAATTAGTAAGCTGCAGGACATAGAAGTAGGCTGGCTAGAGTTAAACTTTTCCTACCAAAGAATTAAATAGAAGACTTTCCCCTCCCATCCATATTTGTTATGGCAAGATCAAAAATATTAAACACATTTGTTTTTCCAGTAGTATTATTACCTTTGGTTTCCAGTGTGACTGGGTCTGAGTATTCCCCTGCTACAGCTTTGTTGCATGCTCGTACTCTAAAGTTCATGTATTTAGAGTCAAACTTCAAACCTGCAGGTGAACACAATAAAGAAGTAGAAGATAGAAAGACATGCAGTACAAGAAAATTCTCGCTTTCATCAAAGGTCGCCATGTTAAAAAAGAGACTATATTGTTAAACTGGAAGGAATAACTGTATCCTGGAAAAACTCATCTCTTCAGGGAAGCCTATCCTACCTCAACATAATAACTGTCCTTTTATTTCTTCCATTAGCTCAACCCAGGCATATATTACCTTTTGTGACACTACCCCTCCTACTAGATTGTAAGCTCTCACAAGAGACCCTCACAGGACCCTCCTATATTATTGTAACTGTACTGTCTTCCTCCATTTTGTAAAGCTCTGCGCAAACTGTTGGCGCTATATAAATCCTTTATAATAGTCTGGTTAGAAATATTTGTGTCTGTTATGTTTGCGAATTTACCCATGTCTGCGTACGACTGATTGGTAAAAATAAAAAGGGATATCTACATTTTATTGTATGTTATACTGATCAATGCATTTGCATGCAAACTGCCCTAGGTAATGCCCACATAAGATGAAATAGGGACCTTAGATTGTACACTTCTTGAGGACAGGGATTGATGTGAATGTGTATCTATGTAAAGCGCTGTGTAAATTGTCAACGCTATATAAATGCCTGTAAAAAATAAAGATAATGAGCTCCATGATTGAAAGTGCAGAACTGAAATCCCAAAAATTAAAGGGGCAGGCCAGGGACTGTCAAGCTCAAGAGAAAAGTTGGATGACACTGAATGTCCTTCAGGAAAAAAGGAGAGCTTTAGCTAAGTTTGCTGAAGCTTCTAATGTACACTGAGAAGATCATACAGAGTAAGAAATGTAAATACAGGAAAAAAAACCCGGTGTAAGACTGAAGGTAAGGTTGAGGTTTGGCTTTAAAGGATGATTAATAAAAGGATGAAGTAATAAAAGTACAGTTAACCTTCAAGTGTATGTTACACTCAAAGCTGCTGATATAAAAGACGAATTAGGTCACACTTACCAGAAAGTGTATGCTCTGCGCCCTTTATATTATCTATGGTTTCCCAGCACCTCTCATCTTTAACTCTTGGAAGTCCATCGTAGTTTGTTTTCCTATATTCCAGAACGTAATGGTCAATTTTGTTATCTTCTTCAGGCATTCGCCATGACACTGTCACACAATTGTCAGCCACTATACAGTCTGCTGGGTCAATCTCTGGTGCTTTAGGCACTAAATAATAAATAAAGGGTGTTAAAGTTAATTTATGTGCACCGATGATATTATCAGAGAACTGGATACAAGTTCTTAAAATATACAGCTGTATAAATTCCCTGGTTATAATTGCTTTTTGAAGAAGTTTTGAGGGCTGGGCAGCATCATATTATGAAACATTGAGATGCTAAGATGCAGAAACTTGAGAACTACTTGGTGGCTCTTTTCAAGCAGCTGATGGGTGAAGATGAGAGTTGCACTATCCCCCCTGGTTATTACAGCACACTGAATGCAGGGGTTTGTAATCTACTAGACCCGTGGTTCTCAACTGGTGGGTCGCGACCCCATGTTCAGTGAGAGGCTGCTCAGAATTTCCCCTAGCGCAGCACTGTCAGTTCTCACATCGAGCAGCCATTCAAAATATGCTACCTGGTGCCGAGTGTCAGCTTGAGGTGAGGAGGGGTGAGGTGAGGTGGGGTGGGGGTGTGGCCACAATGGAGCTCCATCCATACATGCATTGCTTACAACTCCCTCCCGTGTTCTGTAGAGGTGCCTGCATCGGAGTGATGTCCCATTCTGACTCCCGCCACCTCTACAGGGCACGCAAGGACCAACAAGCAATGCACATATGGATGGAGCTCTGTCACAGCACAGCAGCCCACACTGGACCCCAGGCTGAGGATCAACTCCAGGTCTTGAAAGATAGGGAGACTGGATAGATCTTTAAAAAAAAGAAAAACAAATTAAACTTTTTTTTGGAGTGTGTAAATGTACAGTATTTGTGACAGAATGTCTGTGAGTGTGTAAGATTGTGTCTGTCAGTTTTTTTGAGGGCCCATTCACACTAGTAAAGTGCGGTCATTTCACAGTCCCATGAGATTAATGCACTGTACCACGCCTTGCCTCTAACTCGCATTCTGGTGCTGGAGGCGCCCACAGTTCAATCGCCAGCACCGGAACACGCGGTACAGCAATGCCGTGTGTCCCAAGGACAAATGTGGGTCCTGAGGTTACACAGGTTGAGAATCACTGTACTAGAATAAACAAGCCCTTTAATCAAAAACTGTGCCCTTGGGGTTTCATCTAAAATACTATAGGCACTGACAAAATGTCTTTGAAAAAATCATATTGCTCCTGGTAAGAAAGTCGTACCTTTCAAGTTGTCGGATATAAAATGTACGGAATATTAAGAGTCTTAAGTGGAAATAGGTATTCATTTACACAATTACAATCTCTAAGAGAACAGCCTAATAGCTCCACACACACATATGAAGCATTAATTTACAGAAAACACAGTCAAGGTTGATCATTGGAATTTGCTGCATCCTTAATTTTTAAAGGAGGACAAAGAAGGTCATCTGACTAATCCTATATACTGTTGCAGCATTAGCATAAGCACTTCTGCAGAACATGAACAGTTCATCAGATCCAAAATGGAAAAAGAGCTGAATCAATTATTTATATACTTTGTAGAATGTCTAATTTTAAATCAAAGGTTTGAGAATTCCTAAACTAACAAACATAACACTAACGCAATATGGAAAAATATAGTTAACATACAGCAATGCCAAAGGGGTACCTAATGACATATGCCCTTGTCTGCATTATGGCAAGAAAAAAAACGGCCAGTGGCGTAGATAAAAGCTGAACTCTCAAGAGAACATCACTGCAGTATTGTGGCCAAGAATCTAAAAGCTGGAACTGTAATGTGCTGTAGTAAACTGAGACAATTTATTATGAATCATACTCTTTTTAAGCATTTTTTTCTAGATCTGTACAATAAGGTGATCAGTTGAAATGTATTAAATACGCTGAAATGTGTTATATAAGCACTTCTACTTATGCATTTCTTATCTCATACATGACTGTAATTGAAATCACTGCATGGATTTATGTATAAAAGACATGTGAAACACATTCTTCTGTTTTACGTGCCCTTCGATCTTAATCTACTGCTTGGCTAAACAAATACATTTTACTGAAAATAAGCATAAAAACAATATAAACCACATTACCTGGTAAGAATTTTAGGCCCTGGATCATTTGCCTTTCCTGGGAAAAATCCACCATTAAATATGTCATGTTGTCACTGACTTTTGGTTTCAGTGATAGACGAAAAGCTGCAGCCATTGTAACCCTACAATATAAATGTAAGATGAGAATAAGCAAAAAGGGAACAGGCATGGACGTCTCTGCTGCTACAGCCATTTATATGCTCTTTGGTTCTTTGTTATTTGTCTCTGATACCACAGTTCACCAGAAGCACTCCAATACAGCACCATGCCTGTACACCTCAAATCCAGTAGTTAAAGTAGAACTAAAGCCCAAACTGTTTGTTTTTTTTAGTTTTGGATAGAGTAAGCGAGGATGTCAGCTTTTACTCCCTCTGTGTGCAATTGTGGAGATATTACTTTACTTAATGACTGATAGCCACAAAAGGAAGTAAAAGGAACTACCTCCAAAGTGAGGGAAATCCCTAGTGGTCAGAATTAGTATTCCTACTTGAGGATTTCCCATCTAGTCCTGTTCTGATGACAACTCCAAATTTGGGATTTTCTTTCACTTTCAGTGATAATTATCACCAGGACAGATAGAGGGTGAATTTCCTAACAGGAACACAGACAGCAACAAAAACCTGACAGGTGTTCTAATCCTTCTCCACTCTATTCAAAACTGAAAGAAAAGTTCTGGCTTCAGTTGCACTTAAAACCACATTGTGAACACTCAGGTACACTTATAGTAAATGCCAAAAATGTCTTATTTAGAAGAGCTTAAATGGATATTTTACTTTTTTTGTTCATTGGGAAAACTTCACTGTTATTGTCAAACTCATAAAGTGCGGAAAATCAAGAAGGATTCTGTTACGAAGTGATGAAAAAACACTCATATATGTCGCCTTGAGGAAGGCGTGGCCCCAAAACAATGGCTTATATGACGTATGTGGCATGATTGCAATACAAAAAGGGAACAAGAATTCACACTCTGATTCCTATGAGTGCTGGTGATTTTCTATTCAATGATTTTACAAACAGGTGCCCAAAATGAACCCCATCCAAAAATAAAACTAGATCAGGATGACCAATCACATGTGCGTTTTATGGTAACACATGCTAATACCTGTTCAATGTGTGCCAGTATGTTGCGCTTGGTTTGTGGTGGTGCTTTAACACTTTATCCTAGCGCAACTAAAATTGGTTGAAACCTGCTAATACCTGTAACGAGTGGTAATGAGTAAACCTAGGGGTTTTGAGATGCCATTCATTTTAAATGACACCCTAAGGGTGTGCTGCCAGTCTATTCACAATGAAAGGGCGGCTTTAACGCAGTACACCTTAACACACAAAAAGGCATTGCATGAACACACATACGTTAACACAACACATAGTTTAAAAGGGTTTTAAAACGTAGTACTTGGTTCCGCTACCACTGTACTCTTTCCCATAATACTGTAAACAGTCATGAGTCAAAGCTGGTACTCCGCAGTTGGCTCATGTTCTTATACATAAGAAAAGTGTTCTAACTTCCTTCTGGAGGTAGATACTAGGGATGCACCTATACCCGTTTTTCAGTATCGAGTACCGATATTTTTTTTTCCAGTACTCGCTGATACAGAATGCTAATACCGGAAATCTAATTAAGGAAGCCGGGCGGCGTGTAATGACTCGCCGCCCCCAGCTTCCTGATTGGCCGAGAAGCCGGCTCCATGCTCTCTGATGCTCCCCGGGCAATCAGGAAACCGGAGTGGCGTGTAATGACTCGCCGTCTGGCTTCCCGATACCGGAAGTTCCGGTATCGAAATAAGCATTAGGTGTATTTGGGTGAGTACGAGTACTCGCCTAAATACTCAGTATCGGTGCATCCCTAGTAGATACAAAATACTTGTTATAACTGATAAGAGTCCCAAAGCTGCCTACATTTCTGTAAATGTTCCCAGGTTCTGTAGAACTCACTTATAAACTGTAACCAGACACTTTTTTTGTACAAGGGACAGAACACAGACATAACATACAAGGACAACACAACAGTTTAACACCATTTATTTCAAGAGAGGGAACAAAAGTCAAGACATTCAGAGGAAAGAGTCAAATATGTTTGACAGAATAAGGCAAAGAAGAGATTGGTACTGTACCTATCCTTGATCTGTCTGGCAGCCTTGGTGCAAGAAGAAGAGAGAAAGCAAAGTTAGTGCCTCCATGCAGGTATAAAAGGTCAGCAAACTCCATGCAGGACTTAAGGGAAAATGTACAGAACCCGCACCCATTCCTTATAGAACATACAAGTGATCATAATGTGAGTCAGGTCTTGAGGGAGAAAAGAAACTGGGGTTAATTGAGTTAGCATTGTGGTTAATCATCAGGCATCAAAAGAAAGGAAACATTAAACAATTACCTGGAGTGTTAAAGGTCAATCAGTAAAGTGTTTCAGGGTGCACTTGAAAGAGCATATCAGTATAATATCGGTATGACAATTCATGCTACCAGTACATGGTGCGATTTTTTGCCAAACAAAAAAACAATTGTAGAGTTACTTGTGATAGTCAATACTGTATGGGTGCCATAGGATTGCCATTTTTAGCATCAGACAAACATATATTCTAACATAATAGACTTTTCTTTAATTGCGCGTTACATGATTTGCAAAAGTAGTAAAATGATGTTTTCCTTGTGTAAGGGTTTCATAATACAATATTCCCCACAGTATGCACAAAACTGCTTTACTGAAATGAAGCGTGCATGTTGCTGAATGGTTAAAGACATTGACAGGTCTATTCACAAGAGGGTGAAGAGTGTGGAGAAGGCAGGAGAAGTGAACAATCTAGGACAACATAGCTGAACTGGAAAAATTCTCCAATTCAGCTCACTTTCCAGTTCAGCTAGATCAGGGGTGACCACAATTTTTTTGTGTTAAGATCTACTTTTCAAATGATGAGCTCAATGAGATCTACTAATGTTTTTTCATGATTTTTTGTATTCGCAAAACAAACACATTAAAATGCTTACTGGTAAATGCTTATGGGAAATACACATAAAGAACTGAGATTAGTATTGTGACTGCAGAGCTGTGTGTTAGAGAGCCAGAAGATAAACATTACTCAGTCAGGTAAGAGTAAGCATCATTAAGCAATATACATGTGTGTGCACGCCTTGGTTAACAACTTAATTTTGCCAGTAGTAACTACCTGCTTCCTGGCTCCTCAGGTGCGCTGGTATGTACGACGCTGCAGGCGGGGTGGAGCGGGCCAAATGTGTCCTACGCTACGGGCCCAATGTATTGGATGCTGCAGGTGGGGAGGGAGTAGTCACATTGTGCCAGACGCTGCAGGCTGAGAGGGGCAGGCCAAATATGTCTGAAACTGTGGGCAGGGAGAGGCAGCCCCAAATGTATTGGATGCTGCAGGCAGGGAGGGGCGGGATGAATGTATTGGATGCTGAAAACTGAGAGGCGGGTCAAATGTGTCTGACACTGTGGGCAGGGAGGGGCGGCCCAAATGTATTGGATGCTGCAGGCAGGAAGGGGCGGGACGAATGTGTCCAACACTTCCGGCTGCTCTAGCACAGCAGCAGGGAGCTCGGGACAGGGAGTCGACTCACGATCTACCAGCGTTAGCTTTGGGAACGACTGGTAGATCGTGATCGACCTTATGGGCACTGCTGTAGATTGTTCACTTCTCCTGCCTTCTCCAAACTCTTCACCCTTTTGTGATTAACCCTGTTAGTCTTTTTAATGTTCTCAGCTCTACATGTTAAATGTTTAGCTAAACTTAAACATCAGTGTGTGTTAATGTATTAAATGCCTTGTTTATTTTTAACTATATAGGTGTGCAGTAATCCAGTGTGAAACTTTGACTCCTTGTGCAGGAGCTTCCTGTTATAAAAAAACAGTCACTGCTGTTCTGTGTACTTGTGTGGGGTGGCTGGTCTTGTCTCCACCCTCCTCCTGTACTTTTCTGCAGGCAGCCTTAGTGGGTGGGGCCTGTTGGGTCGCTCCACACATCTCTGCTCAGAGTAGTGCAGTACAGTAATGATGTCCCTACTACTTCTACAAAGTTATAACTGGGTTTGCAATGGTTTTATATCTTTTGTGGCTATTGTGGAATATATTTACATGAAAGCTTTTGTACCTGAAGTTCAGCTTTAAGTATCTTGGGCAAGTAAGCACAGCAGTCCCCAATTGTATGTAGGGCCCTTCCTGTGTTTCAGGAGCACTCACGGTGACGGCTGTGGCTGAAGTGTGTATTACCGTTTACCTTCCTCATTAAAAAAAATGCTATAATATATTTTATTTTAAGGGTGCATCAAACATTACCAAAAGAAAGTCTCAGTTGTCCCAAGAAAGCAATTTATGTATCACTTCAGCATCTTATAGTTACAATGTAAGTCAACAGACTTATAGCTGAAATGTATATATCACTCTAGCCCATAGGGACTATACAGCTGCTGACTGGGCCCTGCAAATGCACACTGCGGGCACATTGATTTTGTACGGCTGTGTCTGTACTCTTTTGGATGGCTGGTTCCACCATGAATACGGACCAGCCATAGGGGTGAATAAACAAGGAGGTACAGGGTACCACCTGGACTTTTTTCATGTGAAAAGAATGTGGCACCAAACAAGGCCACACAGTTAAGATCTCTAGGCAAGTATATTGCCATCAGTTACACTGAGGAGTTAGGAGGGAAGCCTTAAAAGGACAAATTAACTGAAAGTCCAGTTGTCGCTATTTTAGCACAGGTATAAAGAAGCAACACCACAACTCCACTAGTTCAAATTACCGAATTTTTCGCTCCATAAGACGCACTTCTTTTCCCCTAAAAGGAGGAGAAAATGTGCCTGCGTCTTATGGAGCGAATACGTATCGCCTGACGCACGAGACATGCAGTTTCGGGCGCCGGACGAGTATTTTTTTTTGTACATTCAGCCCTGCTCCTGACAAGCAGAGCTGAATGTACAGTGGGAGCCGCTGCTCGTTTAATACAAGTGATCTAATTAGGTCCCTTGTATTAAATCGAGCGGTGGCGATCGTGTCCGCTCCTCCGGGGGACCGTGACCACGGCATAGGAGCTCACCATAGAGCCCCTTGAGCAGATGAAGAACGTCATTCTTCGTCTGCTCTGTGAGATTACTGAGACCATGACGCTGTAATCACATCGCCACCTGTCTCAGCGGTCACTAACTGCAGCTTCTGTCACAGGATCACAGAATGCCTGGGTCCTATGGACCGGAGCGCCTTATATATTCACCTAATTCAAAACAACATTTTGGTCCTTAACCACTTAAGTACTGAACGTTTATTTATATATGTTTGTACTAAAGTTCCTGAAACTGCAGCCACGATCTTGGTATGCTTTTTCCAGCATCCGGCTTTCACATATAAGTGATCAGGCGGCTGTAGAACCACCCGATCACTTGAAAAGTGCTGAAGAGCATGTGCCCCCTTCTGGTTATCCATGGCTCTGCTGTTTCTCATGCAGACCTGGTACTGGCACGGTGGGTGTTGGCAGGTCCAACATGGATCGGAGGGAGGTCAGCACAGATCTACTGTCTGATCTCCTCTCCGGTTACTGAATCCAGAAGTGATGACAAATTTGTCACTTCCAGTGTCAGCCTGTCATTTCTCTGGCTGCTGTGGTCGGAGAAGAAGCTGATGAAGCATAATCTGTGCTTCATCTGGTTCAATAGGGTCTGTAGGCCCCTGATGTCCTAATAAAGAGGGCCTGTTGGGCCCCTATGTGACAACAATAAAGATAAAAAAAACTGATAATGAGTTCTGCCAGCACAGTACAGAAAAGGTTAATTATGGTAAACTTGAGCCTCCCCAGCTTTCCCCATTCAGTTCCAGAAGAACATTCAGTTTAGAGGAATACTTTTAATTTAAGAACGAGCAAATAATATGTGTCCCTGTACTGAGTGCACATTTGAAACAACTCCACAGCTTGTGCCGTTGCTTCATCCTTGCTTGTAATTCTGCAGTTTAAAAAAAAAATATTTTGTGGTGACAAATAGCTATGAGAACTTCAAATCATTTGCTGAAAGATCATAGATGAAAGACAAGAAAATATATGGGCAGGAATGCTGTTTCATGTCTGGTAGGAGAAATGACCAACAAAGATGCAATTGAGCAGTGCTCTTTATCCGGTGACTGTGAGTTACTGTGACACGTATTGTAAACAGGTCCTCTCACTTCTCCTTGCTTTGTGATGTCAGCATTACGCTCCAGTGCTTCCCAATGCCACTGATCTATTCACTCTTCACTCTGTGTTCTTTTACGGCATCATATTAACGGCCAGATGAATTTAAAAGCAAACAAGGCCACAATGGAACTAAGCTCTGTGTGGAATCAGAACTCACTACACTGTCACATGTATCTTACATTTTAAAGACAGATTCATCTCCTAATTGCTTAGCTTTATTAACACTTAAAGTGACATTAAACTCAGGAGTTAAATCTTAAAAATGCATTCAAGCACCATAACTATTAACAAAACTGTATCTTCTTTGTGTATCACTCAGCTGTAGATCCTCAAAACATCTCTGAATTAATGCTGACACTGTCCTTCCTTCTGGAGGGTGGCTGCTTGTGTTCCCTGTGGTCCCTATGTGTGTTGTAAAGTAGCCACCGCTCCAAGCTCGCTCCTGTGATGGTCTACAATCTCAATACAAATTAGTAAACTGAACTGCATTTATTCTGTAATTAATGGAATGCGTTTATTTTACAATGGGCTGAGACCATGGACTTTTGTATGGAACTTTTAAACCAGACATAGTAAGGGGCTGATTTATAAAACTTCGCCCAGTTTACATTCTCGAGGCACTTCCACCACTAGATGAAGTGGAGGAGCTTGGGAAATTCCAGTGCTCATCAGCACCATCTTGCACGGCTAGTGCCATGAGAATGGTATTTGCACAGCTATACGCTGGGCGGAAGATTAATAAGTCAACCCATAATTATTATATTGTCACGTGGACATGATTACAGGGATAAGTGCAAGCAGAGACCTAAGCTGGCTTGGTGGATATTTTAGAAATAGCTACAACCCATAGTATATTTTTTTTAGCATTCCAACTCTACAATAAACTACTTGTGTTTTATCTAACATTTAATACACTACTTAACATGGAGCTTGCACCACTCACATCTACTGGTACAGAAGAGTGAAATAGACAAGTTTATAGCAGTGATGGGCTATGGGATGGTGGGCCCATGCCGTTTGACAGTCCTCTCAGGACTTTTACTATCTGGAATATGCATTACTTTCAGAGTTAACTCCCTCCCGTGATGCATTCTTCTTTCCCTTTCTCTTTTCCTCTTGCCCCCCCCCCCTCTTTCTTTACCATGAAGTTTTCACCATCCCAGTCCATTCTATATATAACCATCCACATTCAACAATGTGTGTATACCCCATCCTTTCTTTACAAGTTTGGTTGTCGCTACAGGGACTCCTCCTTCCAGCATCCATTCTCCTGGCCTGTTGCGCCTTTGCCGCATGTTTGCAGTACCTTTGCCTCTTTAACCACTTGCTCAATGTATAATTTGGTCTGTACAGGCGCTAGTTATTCTCTATAGGGTACATGATTGGGATGTTTCCCCAGCTAGTTCTCAGGAACTGAAAAAAGTGAGGACTTTGAGTATGCTGGGTGCGGGTTGTGCAATGTCTGCAATGCCTGTTGTATGTGTGCCCTTATGTCCCTGACTTTTATGTTCATAACCGTAACTGTGACTAGGAGACACCCTTGTACATCTTTGTACCTATCTGTGCTAAGTCATAAATAAAAAAAAAATAGACAAAATGCAATGCAGGATTTTAACAGTGATGGCACTGAAAGCAAATCCTGAATTCATAGCTATTGCTCAACAGAAGAAAAATGGTTATTGAAGGCAGGTGATAACATAAAGAGGTCTAACAATTTAAGTGTAAAACCTTGACGAATGGCAAATGGAAATTATAAATGTATAAACAAGTGAATCAAATTACATACATCACACTACATACCACAATGTTAACATTACATAAGTCAAAAGTAAAGCTCATTTTGTTTTACAAATCTTTAATCATTAGGTCATGCAATTCAGTAGCAGTTTATTTATGTATTGACATTTGCAGTGGAGAACTTAATGATATGTGAATACTGTATGTAATACTGAAAATAGTTATACTTGTATAAATGGTGTTTAGGCTCCTCTGTGGAGCACCCTCCCACTGTGCATGTAGAGAATGGTAGAGGAAATTGTCTTAAAGCTTTCTCATCAAAGTCACATTTCACATTCTGTACCTTGGTAAATTCCTCAGGCTCCTTTATGTCCATGGTCCGTGAAGCAAATTCTAATAGCTCCTCTGAGCTCTCCAGGGCATTCGTACACTGGGACAGCTGATTCTAGATCAAAATGGAGAAAAGAAGGGGGAATGTAAGTGTGAGTGTTGAGCAAAGTTAAATGATTGAAAAAGAAATGTAACAAAAATAGCACAGCTTTTCTGTCACATGTCAAATGCTTCCAGAGCACAACAACTCTACTTTGATTTACTGCACTGGTAAGTTGATTTTATACTGTCTATAGGGGAGGTTTAAAGCCCTAGGTGGCCAAAGTTATATGGAATTAAGTAGCCAGTTTGCGCATCACCATGACCAATGACCCCTCCTGACCATTCATACATTTCCACAATCCCAATTCTATAAGCTAGTCGTGTCTGCTGAGGACTGATGGTGCCCATAGCCATGTGCTAGGGATCCTCCAATATCAAACTTTACTTTACAAATAGATTACAGAAGGAGTGGACAAATGAATATAGAATCAGGACCCAGTCTGTCCAATCCAGAAGCCAGCAGGATATTTTTAGGAGTCAGCTCCATTGACAACAACTAGAGAAAACCTCTAAAGATAGGCGCCAAATTATATTTTTAAGGATCTTTGACCACCTGGCTCCTGGGATTTGTCCAGCCCTGAGTTAATGTATCTCAAATTAACACACTACAGTATAACCCAGTCATCATTTTAGAAAAAAACATTATTCTTTCCATGAAAAAGGAGCATATTGTCTATGGTGTCTCCATGCAAACCACAGTCCAGTAAAAATGTGCAATGTTCTGGCTCACTCGTGCAATGGGAACATCCACTGCTTTCTTCCTCCATGAGCTCTGCTGTAAATCAGCACGATGTTGTAGAATAAGTAGCCAAGGATGCATAGTTTTTAGGGTTGCACAGATACCAAGTACAGTACTCGGTACAAGTACGAGTACATGTACCGATACTTTTGAGCTCCAAGACTACACTAGAGAAAAATTCAAAAATTAGAAGGCAGCTGTCATTTGTAAGGAGCACACGGAGCTCCTGGGATTTCTACATCTCTGTTTTAATGTACGATTTTGTTTTTATAACTATAAATAAAGGGATGCACAGATACCAGTTTTGCGAGTACGAGTACTGGTACTTGCCGAGTACTTACAAGTACGAGTACTGATAAATTTTTGTTTATTGTCATGTGACAGTTTTTCTAAGACTAATGATTTCAGGACAGTGGTGGAGTGCCAGAGCCAGGTCCCAGCTGCAACCACTGCAACCCTGGTAGTTCTCATGAAAATGCCAAGTATCTGTACTGGTACTCAAAAAGTATCTGTGCATCCCTAATAGTTTTGTAAAGGGGGTTGGGTGTTTTCATTTTAAGAAGGTAAAAATGTTTACAGGATAGTTACGGATTTTAAGGGTTCTTCATTTAAACCAACACACTGCTTTTTAAAGTCCCAGCATCTTGTTACAACATCAGCATTGTAATAGGAATACATACTACAGTTTTTTTATATAATGCAATCAAAGCTTTCTTGAAAAAATCAATTTTATGTAGTGAGTGCTGCCTTCTGTCTGCTCATCACTTTCAACAATTTCCTGGATTCCCAGTGTGCTTTCCATCTCTTTCCCTGCTGCTTGGTGTGATGCAATCTCCATTTCTCAAGACTACATAGCCAATAGTGCATTTCTTCCAGCAAGCAATGATAATGTTACATTGTGGGAAGTTTAGACCATGAGTTGTGGTTTAGAAGGCAGGCTTTGTGAGAGGAGTGACACATGGAAGTGCATTTGTGAAATTGTATCACTGCATTGACACATCCTATGGACACCATCAATAAGTACATTTACAAACTTCTAAATAAATATGGTTATTAGGAGTGGGACAGAACTTATGGCAATTCAATATAGCAATACATATTTATGTATAGTTTTTGGCCATAGCTACCCTCCAAAAGTAAGGACAGTATCAGCATGAATTCAGAGATGATTTGAGGATACACAGACGAGTGATACAGAAATAAGGTACAGTTTTAATAGTTAGGGTAATTGCATTTTTAAGACTTAAATTCTGAGTTTAGTGTCGCGTTAAGCAATTCTGAGGGCTGCATGAGGTAATCTGAAGTCTAAAGTAGAGTCAAGCATGGCCTCACCTGTAACTCCTGGGTTTTGTGTGCTTGTTCCTGCTTTATTCTATTAGTCATGCTCTCTTTCATCTCATCTAGCACAGAGTAAAGGCCATCAAACTCTTCCTCTAGGTCAGACAAAACCTTGGTTGAATTTCCCTGGAAAATGATAGCAAAAAGCATGTCACAATAAATGGAAATAATAAATATGTATAAATAAAAATGAATGATACATCCAGTTAGGACCTGGACGTATAGACGTATAGAAAAATCTGGGCTGCTTGTGCCCATAAAACACAATTGTCACTTGGGCAATAATTTGATGTGTTTATAAACACCATCAGAACCCTGAAATAAAGCCCAGCTTTAAGAATATATCCTGGTCCGAAAAAATAAGGCTGTTTCCAAGGATGCCTGCTGCGTACACACAATATGTGATCGGTTTAATGTCATACTGCATACCTGTATAATTTAGATATTTAAAAAGTGTATCTAAACCCCAAATCAGCAATATAAGAAATTGCAGCTTACCAGTCCTTAGATGCATTAGTATTCTTTTTTGTATAATTTTTTCCCCCCCTTCACTTTCACCTAGTGGTCCTGCTAATAACACACTTCTTGGGCTAGGGTGGCTACACTCACTCATTCCACTGTATTTCTGGAGGAGTAGCGTTGTCGCTCTAGGCTGCTCTCCACATATGGACTACAAACACATCTTCCTCACTTCATCTCCATTATATGGGAGACAGGTTAGCTTATAGTTTGCAGAAGATAGCTTACAAGGATGATAACACATTTTATCTCACCAGAAGGATCGTGACATCGACCCCGATTTATTACCTTTTCTCCACAAATGTTCTTTATGTTTCGGCATTGTCAGGGAACCAAGGATGCCGCTCCTTACCAGGCTCGCCGGGTGCAGGCGTAGGGCACCGGGTTCTCCTCCTCCTGGCATTACTCCTGGCGCTGGGGCCGCCGGCGCACATGTCCGAAATGCGCGGCGCGGTATACAGGCTGTGCGCGCGTAACACACCACTTAGCGCTTTCAGCTGCTAGTCAGGCAACCAGGGGGTGATCCTGGGTTTCCCCTGGGTATTTAATCCAGTCAGAGCCTTGGCTTGTTGCTGAGTTTTTCTGCCTCTATGGTGTGATCGCCCAGCTCCCTGTGTGTGAACCTGTTGCTCCCTGAACACTTGCCTGAACTCCCGTTATCGACCCTTCTGCCTGCCTTCTCACTTCTGAACCTAGCTGCCTGCCTCGACCCGGATTTGGACCTGACTACGCTTTTGGATTTCCCTCTGTACCTCGTTCTTGGAATTTTTGTCCCTGCCAAGGGGTTCCACCCACGAACCAGCCGTACACCCGTGACAATATTACAATCATTGTTTTTAATATTTTGTAGGGATGGGGGCGGGGGGTGAGTTTATGATCCCCCACCCAACGACTTAAACAGGCCACCAGGAATGATAGGAAATATTAGATTTGTTACATCTGTTAGACATTTCTCCCCAATTCTTCTAACTGCTTGATGTATCATAAACCAAAATAAAATGATATAATTTTGCCACTTACTGTACCTGCACGCCTTTTAGTACATGGCTTAATGTGTCGATAAAGTTCTGTATTTCATCATTTTTGTTGGCAAGCGTTGTGATGATCCTCTGCAGAGCTTCCTAAAGACAGAGCAGATATGAACAGGGACAAGTGAATGTGTTTGCTAAATAATTATTATACTATTATAGACATAAAACATAAAGTCAGGGAGTAATGCAACGCAGCTGGAGATTCTTGAGATAGCGTGAAATCAGAGCTTACAGAACAAATCTTATTATTCCTCCATGTAAGCAATAATCCCTCCAAGAACACAATTTTATCTATGGGCAGTGCTTGTGCAGGACACCGGGTCAAAGCAGGACTTACCTAATGAATGCCTAATTAAAAGCATTTAAGATTAACGTAGGCTTTCAGTGTTTGTTTACGTGATCATATGTCCATAGCTATGTTAAAGTGACACTGATCTCAGGAGTTAAATCTTAAAAATGCATTCAAGTACCTTAACTTATAACAAAAATTTATCTTCTTTGTGTATCACTCAGCTGTAGATCCTCAAATCATCTCTGAATTGGTGCTGACACTGTCCTTCCTTCTGGAGGGTGGCTTCTTTTGTTCCGCATTGTGCCTGTGTGTGTTGTAAAGTAGTCAAGGCTCCAAGCTCGCTCCTGTGATGGACTACAATTCCACGTTTAGTTTACTGTCCATCACAGGAGTGAGCTTGGAGCAGTGGCTACTCTACAACACACACAGGGACTATGAGGAACAAAAGTAGCCACCCTCCAGAAGGAAGGACAGTGTCAGCACCAATTCAGGGATGATTTGAGGATCTACAGCCGAAAATTACACAAATAAGATACATTTTTGTTAAGTTACATTGCTTCAATGTATTTGTAAAGTCAAAAATCGTTTTGCCTCCCCCCAATGTTAATGTCAGCACTTACCTTAAATGATGTTTCTTAATCCGATCTTCTTCTTTCCTGACGTTTTCATCTGTCCCTCCAGTGCTGCGGCGGGGCTCCGATCCAGCACTGACCCCTCTGTCCTTGCTGGAACTTCCTGTCCCATGGTGTCTGCATGCGGGTGCACGCGTCCATAGACTTACCTTGTGTCTCTCCTCGCGTCCCGGCCGAAAATGTGAACTGCGCATGCGCATTTCAGACGGGAGCGCGCGGGGAAGACACAGGTGAGTAATAAACTCTTTTAAGCATCAGATATATGCAACAAAAAGGAGGCTTTAATAAGGCCATTTAAGGCTCAACTCCTGAGCTTAGTGTCACTTTAAACCAAGTTATATGCATACTTGTAGAAACTGGTTGACATTCTCCAACGAAGATTGGAGTACTGCCAACATAATATTATTAGAAAGTGTTCATGTTGGACCATCCACCTCCAAGAAACAGAAGCTTTGGGCAGCCTGGTCTTCATATGTATGATCAACTCTTGGCTAGTAATGTACACAACATTTGTATTGCAAGTTAGCAAAAGATTTGCCTGCTTGTTGACAACTGCCTCAAATAAAAACCTATGTAGCTAACATAAAACAAGCAAATAAATGTCTTACTAACAAGCAATTACCCCTGCCTTACTGTCTATCATTTTTATGTTGTAAACAGTCATTATTTTTGGTGCTGTAAAAACAAACAAAAAAACATGATATTAGTGTATGTCAAGCCAAAAACTTGTTTTCTAGTTTTGGGTAGAGTGGGCAGCATCAGGACTCCTTCTGGGTTTTTACTGCTATCAATGGCTCTGTTAGATTTAACCTTACTTCCTGTCCTGCTGACAATGGTTAAAATATTTTTTTTCAAATTAAAACATCTGTCTGTGTTGCTGTTGGATCCTTCTCCTCATTTCCTGTAAAATAAACGGTTGTCAGCAGGACAGGAAGTGAGGGTAAATCTCATGAATGGAGACCCAGATAGCAATACAAACTTGACAGGGGTTCTAGCCCTTTCCACTCCATCCAAAACTAAGAAAAACTAATTTTGGTTGGACATACACTTTAATAGTAGGGGCAAGGTCACCATGCCTCTTCCCCTAAAACAAAGGTTTTTACAAAGTATATGCTTACATTGAAATACGTAACAGTTGTCATAGTGAGCCAACACAATTTTAAATACATTTTGCAGACATAATGAAAAAGTAATATCTGAAATACAAATAGCGATCCCCATAGCCACCAATTAGGCTAGTTTTAAGAACGGCATAAGAAAGTGTCTGGAATAAATAAACTGGCTTTGTTGCCTAAAAGTAACTAGTCAGATCTAATCCCACACTAGTCGATGAACTTTTCATATATCAGGTTCCCTGAACATCATGTTAAAATGACAAAAGGGAATGTGACAGGGCTGTCTACAGCAATCAGAGTGCAAAATGTTATTCTGCTCTAAAAAATGACAGTGGGGATTTGATTGGCTGCTATAAGCAATATGGAAACTTTCTTTGCTCCAATTTCCATATATCAGCCCCACTGTCATTATAAATAGGACAAATCAACTTCCAGAAGGCTGTCCATTTATGTATATACCTCTCACCAGGATTGGTGAAAGGGAATGCATCTGGACATCACCATGACCAATGACCCCTCCTGACCATTCATACATCTCCACAGTCCCAATTCTATAAGCTATGGGTTTCTGCTGAGGACTGATGGTGCCTATTGCCCGAGTATTTGGGCAAGTGCTCGGATACTTACCTCCGATACCGGCACTTCCAGTGCCGAGGGAGCATGGAGCCGGCCTCTTGACCAATCAGGAAGCCAGATGGCACCTCATGACTCGCCGCCCGGCTTCCTGATTGGTCAGAAAGCCAGGCAATACCTTCCCCGATATTGGAACTTACGGCCAGATGAAAATTTCCTCTGACCGTCAGTGCCGTAGGGGAACATGGAGCCAGCTTCCCGTGCAATCAGGAAGCCGTGCAGCAAGTAATGACCCGCCTCCTGGTTTTCTGATTGGCCCGGGAAGCCGGCTCCTTGCTGATTGGCTGGAAAGCCGGCTTCCTGGCCAATCAGGTCATTACTCGCCACCCGGCTTCCTGATTGACCGGGAAGCAGGTTTCCTGGCCAATCGCAATCAAGCAGGCCAAACAACATGGAGCCGACTTCCGTGGCAATCAGGAACCTGGGCGGGATGTCATTACCTGCTGCCCGGTTTCCTGATTACTAGGGAAGCCTGCTCCATGCCAGCGGAAGCACCGGCATTAGTATTCAGTGTCGGCGAGATCCGAAAGCAAAAAATCGGTACTCGTACTCGATAACGAAAAACCGGTATTGGTGCATCCTCAGTTTTGATTAAAACAATTTTTTGTATTGGGACAAGTAGATGGTCGTGAAGGACAAGTAGATTTGGCCCCCACTTTAGCCCTTGGACAAGTAGTTTTTTAAAAAATTTCCACACCCCTGCCTCAGGGGGTCCCCTTCATCAGGCTCAGAATGACCTTTCGGGTGCCTCAGGGGGCCCCTTCATCAGGCTCAGAATGACCTGAGCCTGATGAAGGGGACTCCTTGAGGCCCCGAAAGCGCTTGCATTTGAATGGCAATGTGTCATTAAATAGACTATTGCTTAACTACTACTATGGTGTGCTGGTGACATTATTTCTTCATTCCTGATAATCGGGGCACACGGCACCAGTACACGGCGAGTACCCAAAAAAAAATATCGGTACTCTGTACCGAAAAACCGTTCCCTAATGGCCACAATTAGTGTTTTCCAGCTATTACATTCGACCTGGAAAAATATTCTAATAACATGAATTTTTGTCTCCATTCAAACAAATGTACATGTCATTTTGGGGGACGAACAGCTCTATGAATTGTTTATAAATAAAACCCATAGACAGAGAGGCAGGACAACATTGGGAGCCAAAATGTTGTGCTGCAATACAACCCACATTCTTACAGGAGAAAAGAGCAGAGTGAAAATAGGGATTACTCATCACTGTGCTACTGCTACTCCTTCACTGTCCAATCTGGGACTCCAAGCACCTTAATGAACTACATAACTGCAGTAGAGAAAAGCTAGCAACCTGACTCTGAAATCTAGTAGGTATTTGTATACCAGCTCCAACATATGTATTTCATCTGTGTATTTAGCTGTTTGTCTGGAGTTTATCTTTACCATTCCTGCTACATTAGACATTTATAAAAGCAGTTTGGATGTTTGCAAATTCAAAACTAATTTCAGATATTGATTGGGTATTTGCTCAACTTGCTAATTAACTGAAAAAGCTGTAGGCTAGTCTACCCAGAGCAGATATCAACAGAGGGATCAGGGCTAAAAATCACACTGCAGCTGCCAGTACCAATGTTATAAAACATTCACTGAAGAATGTTATCACAGTAAACCAAAGAGCTGCTCGATATTAACAAGGAAAGCTGCCCTTACTCCCTGCAGCCAAAGTACAGGACAATGGCACAGATTGGCCAAAGTGCCTCATTATTATACATTATAAAAAATGACCAACAAATGTAAAGTAATACAATGGCACATCCCTGAAAGTGATTTGATTTGCTGATGGGGATAGATTGGAACTACAATGTATGTAATGGCTTGTTTGTGCTTTAGAATCCATTCATAGGGCAACAGGCTTCATTTACTGATCTATAACACATTTTATTTGCCATATCAATCGTTAGCTGCTGTTGCTAACATTAAAGGCTTTAATGGCTAATGACTTTGGTTGTAGCTTTGTGAAATAAAGGAGAACTATGAGGTGAGTGATTTACACTCATCCTCATAGTTCTAGCCGACCTGTGACAATGAGACTGTCACAGGTCGGCTCAGTAGATCGGGAGGTGAGCGAACACATACCGTCGCTCGCTCACTTCTCGATCTATCCCTGCAGAGAGCCGTGACTGTCACTCATGGCTCCCTGCAGAGATTCCTCCCCTCCCCTGTCCGATCCGCCAGCGCCGACTGGCGAAACGGACGCGGGAGGGTACAGCTGGCTCGGCCTCTAGACAGGCAGTGCCAGCTGTCACTCACCCAGCTGGGTGGATCCAGACAGTAATGTCGGGATCTGTCCCGGCTGCGGCATCTCAGTATACCGCGAGCTGTAGCTTAGGGTGACGGGAGGAGGCTAGTTTGTGTCCTCCCGTTACCCTTAGGAGAACTATGGG